TTCTGTGATGTAGTAAAATGGATCAGTTGAACGTAATTTCTCAATTAGAAGAAAAAATGATTTCAAATAGAATAATCAAAATCTATTTTCAACATACCATCGCTTAATTATGCTTTTACGGATTTCAAATCTGCTTAAATAAAAGAAAAGATAATAAAATATATTAGAAATTATGTTTAATCATTTTGTTTAAACAAATTAATAAGTTAAAACACAAACAGAATAATAAGAAAAAAAGAAAAGAAATGAAACCAACAAAAAAGAAAAAAAAAAAAAATTGATGAAATAAAGTTAGTGAATTTTAGAGAGAATGAATGAATTAAATTGAATTTTAAAGAGAAATAGCATGATTGGAGGTAAGTTAATTGTATGGAATGGATGGATTCATTGACCTTGCCTATTGCGCCATTCAATCTTCTTCCTCTTTACTTTTGCGCAAAAGAGACATAACTGATGATGGTTGATTTCATCAGTATTATCATCATACATAGTAGAGAAATTGGAACAAAATTAGAGAGGTTTTGTGGTAGAGACGAAGAAAGGAAAGAAATTACATTTTATCTCATTTTATTATGCTATTTAAAAGTTTTAACATTTTTATCATGCAACAAGATACAACAAAATTACGCCATTTATATGCTTTACCTAAGATTATTATCACAATATTTATTGGTTATAAATTGATATCTTATTGGACCTTAGTATAACTAAAAATTTATTATACACTAGAATAATTTTGATTATAATTTTCTAAATTTAAATCATTTTATTAAAAGAAAAACACTTATTTTTCATGTATTATTCAGGAGTATGGAGAAAAAACTTCCGGATACTTATATACATATATTTTCAATACTTACATTTGTCATAATTGCGCCGCCAAAAGATATTAGCAAACAATCAGTACGATTCTAATTTGATAGCATTGTTAATTTGATGTTACAGTATTGAAATTTCGGATAAAAGAATTAAAAAAATTGAAAAAAAAAGAAGATAATAAACAGTAGCGAATTATTCATATCTATTTAGTTTAATAATTTAACTAGAAAAAGATTAGTTTTATTATCATTTCATTATCGTTTCCGAATCCGTAGTATTACTGCAATTAGAAATGCTTTTTAAGTAACGATTAGTAAGGGTTAACTATAAGTTTACTTACTTATTGCGATTTGAGATTTGAGTTCAAAGAGAATTTTCACCTCCGTCACAGGTAGACATGCATCAGAAAAATTCCGGACTGTCACCAACTATTATGTGGACATTTTGAAGAAATACTGACGTCAATGACACTTTATGCCAAGGTCATTTTATCCCTTAGTTACACTGCTCACTCTTTTTTTTTTTAATTTGAGGAATTTGAATTGACTGTTTTTATTGCAGTATATTTGAATAGAAATTTTATAAAGAAATTTTTAATTTTAGAACATTTAAAAATTAAAAAATCAAAATAAAAATGGACACAAATCCATATGCTCAATTGCTTAATAATAGCAATGTTATCAATAGAAAATTCATCAAGAAAGATCAAGGTCAACGTGAACTTTTCATGTTATACATTGAGGATAATTTTAAATTGATGATAGAGTAAGAATGGATTTTAAAAGTTTAAAATTTCAATTGAATAAAGTTATATGATCAGATAGGATGAGAAGTGGGGTAAGAGGATGAATGGGTTGCCCTTGGCCTTGCGCAATGTCATTTTACCCAACTGAATTTGAGGCGATGTGCGTAATTCGTAGCAATCATCATCATCGCCACAGTCGGTCGGGTCGACGAAATAGGTCACCGGGTCCTCCGTCTATCCGCAGGTACCCTGCGCTACCACCCCGTCTCCCACTGATTTTCGAGGTATCATACAAGCTACACCTTCATCCTTCCATATCACCCAGCCTTACCCCATTATCATAGGTAATAAACAATCTAGTAAGATTCCTCACTGGAAAAATTTCTTCTCAGACTTCCTTACTTTCTCTCTCTCTCTCTCTCTCCTCAAAACTAAACGATAACATCGAATCCTTATGCTGTACAAAAACGGTTTTCCGGAGCGACAATAAAGACGAGGAAAGCTCACGATTTTTTCCCACTAATATTTTATTATAGATAAATAAATAAGTGCACTTTGATAATAAAACACACAGAAACACGCGAACATATTTATGAAATCATGCAATGAAATAAATTTGCATACTGAAAAGAAACGATTAATTCGAGCAACGACCTTAATGGTTAACGATTAATGTATTTCAACAAGCAGTTCGATATGATCGAATCTTATTGAGTTTCAATGAATTGCTAAGTAGTTTAGCAATAAAAAGGAATAATAAAATTAACCGATGATTTTTAGTAGCACACTTATCAACTCAAAAATCTGTCTTAATTAATGATAGCATTGATTGTTACTTATCACTCCATGCAATTTATCAATCTCTTTTCCATCTCACCTTTTATTATTTTCCAATTTTAAAAGTAATATGATTAGGATTAGTGTTTCAAAGTTTCTTATCTTTTGTTTTTTATCACAATAATACTGAAAAATGGAAATGAAAATTGGATAACAGTTGGAAAGTCGATTTTGAGTTGAATGAGAAGGATTCAAAGTTTTAGAGCTGTTAATTAGATCAAATATGAACATTTCCGCTTTCTTTGCACATATCGGACATACCGTAGCAATCTTGCAGGAAAGGAAAAAAAAAAGATGTGAAAAAGTTTGAACTAAATAAATGCTACGTATGTGGCTGTATTTTATTTACAACAAAATAACTTATTAGTTTTTCCTTAAAAAAATAAATAAGTCAATAAACAATGTTTATGTGAAACGTACGCTATGATACATCTAAGTACCTTCTTCAAAACATCTTTCTGATCGAAAACAAATTGATTTTTGTGACAGTTTGTGCTATTTTAAAAACGACCATCGCACAGGCTATTGACCTTTTCCGTGTCATGCATATATGTGACAAAAAGAACAAATCTATATGCAATACAAACAAATGCAATGAAGTTTTGCACATATGTCGTATGGACAATGATCCTGACGACAGGTAACGCTTCCTTTCAGTTAAAAGGAAGTGATAAGTGCACATATCACGTCATAAACGCTTGAAAGTTTAACTTCAAGATAATCTACATGCAAACTTAGGTAGAGTTGACGCGAGAATTTAAATGATTGCAACGGGAATTTAGGTAATTATTAAGAGTAGTCTTCCAAGATATTTCATGTCTTCATTTACATACCGTATATTTGAAAAATTTTAAATTTTGATTTAAGTTTATAAAATTGATTAAAATTTGATCGCGCCATAGGAAAGTTGGGAAGTGATAAGTTATGATAGGTCCATGATGTTTTAGTAAATGTGGAAGATATTACAAATGGCTAAATGCCAAATGATCTGAATAGAACATCAACAGAACAAGTTAAGAATAAATGAAAAGGCTGATGAAATTAAAAGGTTTGCTGATTAATGATAAGCTTTTGTAAGCCTAAAATAAAGTTAACATTGATTTTATATCACAGTGCCTTTAGGTTTAAATTATCTATGTTTAATGAAAATTTAATAAATAAACAATTTAGTCGAAAATTTTTTGAAAATCAATAATTGATTGATTATATTGAAACTGAATTGACTGAATCAAATTAGTTTGATTCAGTGTTAAACGTTTTGCTCTTAGTTTAATTGATGATTTGTGATGCATATTTTATTTGACCATAAAATCATAAGATGATCTAAATCAATGATAGATAACGAATCAGTGACAATTTGGATGACAAGTAGTCCTAACAATTACTACATTGAAAAGAAGAAAATAAGGTAAAAACTGTTTAAGAAATGAAGCGAATAGCTATGTAATTCATATTTCTGAAGAATAATTGGTTTAAAGGTTGAGATGAGTGATCATTCACTTTTCACTTATCAATACTGTGATTATCACCAAAACAACATTGAAACTTTCGAAATGTCTCAAAATTAAACAATAAATTATTTAATTTTAATGCTTTTAGTTTACCTTCACTTTGTGTTGTATAATTGTTGCTACTTTTTTCTTTTCTCAGAAAACCGCTCAAAATTTGATTCACATTCCTGCATATATTTCTATAATATCCTTATCATTACTCATATTTCATAACAATACCTTATCATCATTTGAGATCAATTTGAAATCTTTTCATAATTAGCAATAATTTTAAAGCTTAAAAAATTTTTTTGAATAATTAATGAGACATATCTGTTTTGATATAAAAGATGTTGCAACGGATTTGAATAATTGAGAATTCCCATCGTATTATTGGTTGAGATGTATTACATACAGTTTCATATCAGTTTTGATATAAAAATTTTACTAACCTAGGTGAATGGTATACTTTTTAAAAGATTTTAAAATATTGAAATTATAATTATAATTACACTTATAATTACATTTACAGTGCTTCCCTAACATTCCACATCTTTTGAAGGTCTCGTTAAACAAGTTAATTCTTCTGTTTAATAATTACTACTTTGGAATCGTTGCGTTCGTTTAAATTCCATGAGACTGAGATTTTCGTAACGGGCAGATGCTAATGCGTGCACGTTAAGTGCCGTGGATGCTAGACGTACTTCGCGATCGGTGTTAGACGTACTTTCCTTTTTGGATTTCTGCAGTGAATTTCTTCTGAACTTTCTGGATGGCTTATGCTTATAAGATTTGACATCCGTAACTTTTTTTATGCTTATATTTCTTATGTCATAACTTGCTTTTTGATAATAATTATACGATACTTTCGCTCCCTTCAGTGTACTATGTTGTTCAATGTAGTATTTTTTACTTGATTAGATGTCGGATATGTTATATATGGGACGGATTCTCATGACCTCTACCATCATCAAAATATTCATTGTTAACTCTTTGTTACTTAAAAGTCATAAAAGATGCCATAAAGATTAGTTTACAATGGACATTTTGATCATGACAGAATACAGGAATTAAATTATAGCGTACTACATTGCAGCAATTCATTCTTGATGGCTGAAGTCTATTTGAGTAATTTCCGGAATGCAGTAAATGCGCAGGAAGTTGCCAAACAAATTTGTTCTGTTGTGGAAGCCAACGATATTCATGCATTCGCTCAATTTCTATCAGAACCATCGGTAAAAGCACTGCAAGACGACCAAAATTATTGCAAATATTACAATTTATTGTGTCTTTTTGCTTACGGCAAGTAAATTTATTTTTTAATTTCAAGAATAGTAATGGAGATAAGATAAATTTATGAGTAATATAAGGTCAATAAAAACTAGTCATAATGGAATTGATGCAGATTCGAAATACTGATGGTCTAACCAACAGCTAGATTAAATTTAGGAGTATTTTAACAACCACCACTTACCAAATTGTCTAGGTTTTGGTGCTTGCGAACTTGTCTGTATTTAATCAAGCTATCATATGTTGGTTACATCATCTCTTTCGAGCAGAAAGATATCTGAGTAGGTATTTATTATTGGTTCGGTGTCAGCTATCCACGTTGCTTTCTGAATAACTCATCTTGTCCCATTTCAACACATAAAACAAGGAGAAATATCTGAATGATATATTTTATATCATTTATATTCAGCTAATCCATTGAACAAACGAGGATCTATAGCGTTTAGGGACATACAAAGATGCCGTTGAACGTAAGGACGATTTGCCTGATCTGAATGAGACAATGTTAAGGAAAATTCGGCAGTTATCGTTGGTAACGATGTGCACTCGTTCAAAAATTTTCTTGATTGAAGATGCGATGCGTGAGTTGCAAATCACTGATCTGCAAGAATTCCAACGTCTCTTCATTTCTGCCATATATGATGGTATTATTCAGGTTTTTTTTTTTTTTTGCTTATTTCTTTACTGACAATCTTATAATGGAAGTGACATCTGTTTTGGCCGTTCCACTAGTAGTTCTGGTGGTTGTTAGAAAATTCGAAATGCCGCTGAGATTCATATTACGTCTTCACTTATGTTGTGTCAAGATACTGTAGAATTATTCTTTATCTTTGAATACTAATTAAACAGAGAAGTCAGAAGTCATGCGTACGCTCTCACTGGTTTTAAGTTTTGACGATTGTTATTAATGAAGACAGTAGAGTAAGTAAACAGTTTAACGGATGCACCGAGATCCACATAACATTATGCGTCTAGTTGAAACTAATAACTTGGTATACGCGGCATGTATCCACTTTCTTTGTTGATTTTTCACGTTTTTAATTCATGTAATCGTTGAAACTAAATATATTCAATCGCTAATTCATCTCGAGACAATTTCCGTAATTAACGTAGTGAAGGTTGAATAATATATTTTTCTAGTTTCCAATGAGTTCTTTTTTTATTGACTTCTTATATTATTTCTAGAACTGTAAACTTTATAGGGTCGACTGAATGCTCAGAGAAGTGAAGTCGAGGTTTTTTCATGGAAGAACCGAGATATTGCAGATGATGAATTAGATGATATTTGTCAAATATTACATAAATGGATACAGCGATGTACTGACATCAAAGAGGATTTGAGTCATGTAGCAAAGCTCACTGAAAAAGCTATTGCGGAAGCAAATGAACGGGAGAATAAAGTAATCTTTCAAAACTTTGAAAACAAGTTTGTGCATCAAACAAGATGGCGTAAATGAAGTGTTGGACAAGTCCTGTGACATAAAGGTGTAGATTTATACTGGTTCCATTTTCCTTAACGTCGGCTGTCTGTTTCAGAAAGCGCATGGAAAACTGTATAATAAAATACATCATAGCGCAAAATGTGAAATGAGTCTTAGCACTTCATGCTGTTTGTGTGCAACGACACATCAATTGAAATTTATCAAAATGTGCATTTTTTTTTTTGTCTTCGAACTCGAAATAGTTAGTTTACTGTCAGTTAACCACTGTCATCATTAGTTTAGGAAGGCTTCCTTAGTCACTAGATGTTTTAGTGCTTGAAATTCTTGGAAACAAGAGTCAAAGCATAGCACAGATGAAATAGAAGTCATGGAATTATTTCCCATGCGTTTACGGTCACATTTCAGTTCCTTTTTAAATGCTGTAGCTTAACCCATTTGTTATGCAGGTTGCCGAAGAAGCAAAAAAAGTGCAGAAAATGCTTGAGGAAGAAGAAGAACAACGAATGCCGAAGGAGTTTTATCGGCGTACAAAAACTCAACGCGGAAAAAAGCACTGTTAGATTTCAAGCATGTGTATTTTTAATGTAAATATAAATATATGCAGAAAATCTGAGTGATTCCATGGTTATTTGATACTCTTTCTGTTTCAGTGAAGAAAATCTAATAAATTATTTATCGTGTGCTATGCGAAATTAGAAATATCTGTACAAACCCATATAAAGTCAGATTTTTTCTTGTAACGAGAGCAAAACATGTTCTTCCATTACCTGAAAATAAACTCAGTAATTCTTTCGAGGATAATGCAGCTAACTTGCTGAACTTTAAGGACCCAAGTTTTAAAGTAGACATGTAAGTTAGAAAGAGCAACGGGACTTCTGACCCCTGGAAAGGTTGAAAACTTTGTCTAAATTAGATGTTTTTATATAAATCTTAATTGGATTTGTTTTTTCTTGGAAAACTGTAGTTTTCTAGAAGGCTAAAGACTTGTAAGAGTCAACTAAAGCCTTACATTTAATGGTAAAGAAGAATAATAAGCTATAAAGCGAAGAGTATGCATGAAAGTTCCTTGTTTCATATTTCCCCGTGCTGTAAGTAAAGTCGTTGATATGTAAAGGTTGCAAAGGGCGAAGAATTCTTGCAAAACATTAAACTGCAATAATATACATGCGAAACCAGCGCAGAATGCCGAGATGTCCGTCGAGTCGGCTTTTTTGAGTACTACAAAAACAGATTTCTCATACAACTTTTGTCCGTATAAAAAAAAAAAATATATGGAATTCTTCTATTAAATGTTACACTGGTTACATAAATAATAGAATAAGATGGGAAAAACAGTACGCGGATCTGAAAATGTTTTACCGTTGAACTTGCTTATCGCAGCGAGAAGTACAAGAAACATTGTAGGTAGCAACAATTGTGGTGTCTCTCTCCTAATGTATATCTGCAAATATTAAAAAGAAAAGAAAAAAAATGAGTAACGACAGCTACAATGCTGTAAACAAAGATCTTATTACATTAATAATTCCTGCAAAACGGCAAAAATTTCAAAACTTACTTTCATGAATGGATCTGTTATACCGCAGCGTTCCAAAAGTACCGACAATTCACCGAGAAATGTTGCATCACATTCACCACGATGTCCACGAATATCACTAATAACACCTCTGAATAAACGTGTTTTCTTCTGAAGCAATAATGACTGAGAAACATTAAAGACGATTGAGATGTTCTCCGAATAAAGATTCTAGAGGAAATCAGATTTTTTTTAGAAGGTTTACCAAATTTCTTTAGAAAATCCTCCAGAATGTTTTCTTTAAAATTTTCTAGTAAGAATCGGCTAAGGAAATTCAGAACTCGTTAAATGTTGCAACTGCACTGAAGATATTCGATGAATGTTGTCGTAATGCTGACTGATTAACAGATAATATTTGTTGCCGCAATAGTTGTAATTGACCAATCTGAAATTATGTTGTTATGTTAACTCATTCGACGTTTAAATACATAAAAATCGAGTAGGGAATAGCAAACTTAGAAGCGAGATAATCACTCTGATTCTCCGGCATAAATAGCTTTTTTCTTAATTAGTGCATGATAAATCAGTGGAGAACACGCAACATCACTGAAGCGAAATGTCATTGTAATAAAATAGCACATTAAAAGACAGTTTCTCAGACGAATATTAGCAGTCGATTCCTCAAAAATCGAAATGATAATGGAGTAGAACAAAACATGCCTTACTGACAGTCCTAATAAATCGTGATGAATTTGGTAAGAATTTTGACAAAGCACAATCGAAGATTTTCAGTCTTCCAGCAACTACCACAGTTTTCACCAATGTAATGTCATTTAACAGTGAAGTCATCACAGGACATAATATTTCCGAAAGTTGTTCAAATAAGGTATACAAATATTTCACAATGTGAAATGATGTAATCCGATCGAGTCCATATAGAGCCATCGGTGAAAGTGCTTCCTAAAAAGGATGAAGTTTTCTCGTATTGTCCAAATATAATTGAAAATAAGAAATAAATATCTGAAATTACAGATGCACTAAGCAAAAATACTTCTCTTAACCCAATTTAACACAAATATTTATCGACAACATAATAATGCCAACTGATTAGTATACCACCATTTTATTCAGGAAAGATGACAGAAAACTTCAAATAACAGAAATTTTGCAATGTTTTTTTTTTTTTTTTTTTTTTTTTTTTAGAATTTCATTGGTCTTGAACATAATTGGTTAGGTTTGGTTCAAATAATAGACATTAAATTTATAATGGCTTATTTCAAATTACTTGTATAGCATTCAGAGATTCGCCTGACAAGACTGTTTTCTTAGTTTTTAAATCACACCACATTCTCATCGAATTTACAAAATATGATGATCTGAAAACAATTATTAAATCACAGCCCAAAAATAAAATTCAGTTTTGAAAAGTTTTGAATTTGGAAACTAATTTTTACATCTTCAAAAATTTCTTTAAATCTAATTTTTGTGACTGCTCTATAAACCAAGGTACAATCACTTTACTTTGGATCTGATGCATTCAAAATTCTGCTAAACAAGCGATGTAGAGGAGTTAATGATCCTTCAAATGCTGGAATATTTGGAATTGGTGCTGACCTGGACTGATATAAGCTTTCTTCCTCAGTGATCTGCAATGTGTTGCTCTAGTTATCAACTTTAATCAGTAAAATGAAAAGTCTATCTTGAAAGGAGATCCTACTTTTCATCGTACTTTTCGAACATCAAACATACTGAATTCATTAAAACACTTAGAAATTTTCTGTCAGAATTAACGAAAAAACAAACGGGATGTTGTAAAAAGGCGTTACATTCTTTCTCGATCATATAACCAATTACACGAGCTAATTCGTTGTGCCATATTACAGCTCCATTGATAGCAATATGTTCACACATGTAAACAAAAGCTCCACGTAAGTGAGCAAACTGGTTTTTCAATTTAATTAAAAAATCATCCAAAAGCAAATCGGAAGCTAATTGCGATCGTAACGTTGCACATATTTCAGTTACTAATTCTCTGAAATGAAACATTTCTCTTTTATCAAGTGTATAAATAATTTATTCCCACAGTCATCAACTGATAACATCTAAAAAGGGTGACACTATTAATTTCCAGCAATAAGTCCGTAAATACAAACTTTCTAATTCCATCTAGAAAAAGATTTGATGGATCCACTCGAAGTGACCCAAGTGATGTTAGCTGCATAGTTGAAATACCAGAAGAAAGCATTGAGACTGCATGTGTAATAGCTGCAAGCTGCAAACGACGTTCTGAATCCGCAAATTGACGAACATCAGTTTTATTGATAGAACATCCTTGCGGAGGGCTCAAAAGACTAGCTACCTTATCCAGCAGTGTAAACAGCGAACGTGGGACAGCCTGCAGATAAAGTTTTCTATTTCAAAAAATCTAACCTTAAAATTTCAAATTTGATTTTTGTTTAAACTTCATTTTCACAAATTCATGTTCATTCATCAGTTTCACAAAAAATAATGCAAATATAAGTGAAAAAAACATGCACAGTAGTTTTCAGATCTCTGAATGTGATAAAATTTCAAAACTAATTACATTAAAAGCAGTAAATGTAATAGTCGAAAAATATATGAAGGGAACATAAATATATGAAAAAGCAACCACTCGTACCTGAAGAATTTTGCGCAATCTTGCTTCAATCAAGCGCGAATAACAAATTGATATAGACGATATCCTCTCTGGTGTATTAAGGCGTTCCAATGTTAAATTAATTGAGTTCGCCATTTTGACAAACACTGAACGTACGGGAAGTGGATTGACTATTACCAGACTTTTCATATTTTCAGCCCATCTATAACACAAATGTTCAATTAGGAATGAATTTGAGAGAAAACTTTCTTAAAATAATTAGTTTAGCACTTTCCATTTGAGGATTCATATGAATTTCTAAAACAGCGACGAATAAAAAAACATTATTTTAAGCATAAGTTCAAAAAAAAAAAAAAAATCAAAAACCAAAGTTCAAGAACTTCAATAAAAACAAAGTGATTATTAATAAAATACAATTAAAATTAAGAGAATACTGGTCAATCATTGCCCATCCATATGAGAAATTTGTTGCTGATTCTATTTTTTTCAAAAATGCTTCATCCAGCATGCAATAGTGCGATAGCGTAGTTAATAAATTTTGGGCACTTTGCAGATACTGCGATACAGCAACTATTCCAGACAGATCATGCATATCGCTCACCTGTACATTCAAATTATAATAAGTTGAATTTGAGTGCATGATCACATATAAATGCACTCCTTGAGTGAATAGTTTCAAATGTTATCTTGTAAAAAAAATTTTCGTAGCAAATATTTATCGCCAGTTAGAAGCAACGTCCCTCCAATCACAACTTATTGCCAAAAAACGATGACATATAACAAAAACTAGAAATATGGCTGTAAACATGAGAAGCACGGAACCTACGAAATGATGTGCAGAAGAAAGGTATTCATCAAATTATATAAAAGTTAGAAGGAAGGAGAAATGCAAAAACCTGATCTAATCGGTTTTTCAATTCTGAAATCAAGGAAGACGCATCTGCGTTAAAAATATCTAATTCCTCGATAGTTTTCATCAGCAACAAAAGCCACGACCTTAACTTCTCTGCAAACGATCATCTTCTCTTGTAACTCAAGCCTTCACAGAAACAGTGTTGAATTAAAAGATCAATCTATATATTGAACTAATTAATTAGAAGATAAAGACGAAGCACAATAGGTCAAAATATAATAATACCATTTTTCTTGATCCTTTGCAAAGGTAATTCGTTTGCAAACAGTTCAGCTACTTGCGTGACATGATCACAGACTTCGTCTTTAAGCTTTCGGACATTTTTTTCTTTATTGTTTAAAAGCGATCGAGCGACCTAAAAATCCGAAGAGAAGCTCCAATAAAATTACTTAATATATATAAAACAAAAATCTAAAGATCAGATCAACTACGAAAGATTCGAATATTTCCTTTCAAAACTAACACCTTATTGTTAAGGAAAAATATTTACAAACAATGAATCCCAGTATATAGAAAACAATGGCTTAAAATTGCTTTACAAAGAACATAATCAATTTGGAAAGATGTTGAAATAAATTTGTCAAAATGTTCACAGCTTGCCAAAAGTACCGAAAATTTCTTACTTCTTTATAGCTATATTCAAAGGCTGAAACTTCGAGCAGTTTACTAAACAGATCAAGCGAACACGACGAAATTTGACTATTGACAATATCATAAAGCTGTCCGGAACGTTTGCAGCACTTTTCGGGCTTATCTGGATGAATAAAAGAAAACTTGGTGTGTATGAAACACTCCTATACACATGGGTTTTATGAGAATGATTAAAATACAAAATAAGATTTAAATACGCATCGATAAAATGGTAGCAATAAGACTTACAGGCATGCAACATAGCCCATTGGAGGTGTTTATTTGAAGTAGCTATTAGATCAGCAAATAAAATAACATCGGCTACTGATAACTTGGCAGTGTGTGGGAAAGACGCCGCTTTCAAAGCAGATATATGGCTAGCAGTTAAGTGTTTTACTATTTGTGCACTAATTGCATGCTGCAGTGCACTATTTGCTGCTCTATAATGATCCCAAGCATCCATCATATTTATCACTATTCCCATATGCAAATGCACCACCTAAAAATTAACTAATTTCATATTTCCGAATGAGCTTTTCCAATTCTAAAAAACGATGTAACCTGCAAATGAGGAAAACTTGTCCAAAACAAAAGTCCTAAGTAGCTACGCATGATATGTGTTCATATCTTAAGGAAAACAACAATGAGGAATAAGTGAGATCATCTTTTTTCTTTGAATCTTACGGAAATAAAAATCAAAAACGTTATTTTTTATAACTTAAATTCCCACATTCTATCCATAAGACGATATCACTTATCATTATTATATCTTTGTTAAATATAAAATTTAAATTTACTTTCCTGAAAACATACCCATTCTTCAGCGTAAAATGTATCTACAATATGGCGCATAACAACATGGTCTGAATGTAATACTGTAGGAAGAAAGAAAAGACAGACAGAAAGAAATGATCGTTGATAACATGAAGCACGAATGCCTCGTCGAGAAAGTTCATGTGGTATAAATTCGTCCTGAAAAAAAAAAAAAAAAAAAAAAAAAACTGATCACATCAGCAAAACGAATTGACTACAAGAACGGAAACTAAAATCCGTATAAATGAATCAGATAGTATTAATAGTAATCAAATGGTAAGCCTCATCACTGTAACTAACAAATAATTTTTTCAAAGCTTCAAACCACATTACTAAATGAATGGATTTTCAAATGGAGTATATGATCTCAAATCATATCAATTTTCATCAAATAGTTGCCGAAAATACAATAAAAGAAGCATCATATATAATCGAGACTTCTGTAATATCTGAGAGACAAACATTCATTTTTATATTTAATTGACACTCTTTTAAACAGTGATAATAACTTGCGAAACTCGAATTTTTCCAATACTCCTAAAATCCTTGTCATAGTCAAATCTTATAGTACTATTGTCAAGGAAATAATTTTGTATACCTCATCAGGAAACAAAACGTCTGTGTATAATACCACAAGTATATTGCAGACAAAAGCTTTATTTAATGGTAATCTTCTGAAAAATAAGAGATGGAAATATATATATATATATGTCAGCTCACGAAGGTTTCAAATAAAAACAGTACAATTATCAATTATACGATAATACTATAACGATAATACTACAACTGCACAACAGCGGCTTCTTAATTTGATGTCACATGTAAAAGAAATAACGAAGTGGAAAAAGAATAACAAGAAATAGTCGAAGATTCTAATGGCTTACCCGAAAAGCTCTTCTCGACTGGACGCTACCTTCAAAACATCAACTAGAAGATCGAATCGTTCACTGCTCGAAGGGCTGAAATCTTTAGATTTCTTAAAATATTCTTAGAATATGGAAGTCTGCATAAAAATTCATTTAACTCATATCGTCTTTATTTCATCAACATATAATTTAATTTATGCCACATAGAACTACTTCATCAACCTAGTATTTACATTACCGTAACTCTGACCAAAGATCTCATTCACGTACTTGCTTCTATAGTGTGCAACAAACAATCTTTGCTTCACTTCATTAGCAAATTTCTCATCCAACGCCAACAAAATGAGGCCTGCGATAAAGAGTGCTTCTGCCTGAAAATTATTTATATTTAGATACTGAAATAACTTTGAAGTGGAATTGTTAAACTTTTTGAAATCATAAGTGCAGTTCAGTAAAGGAAAATATAATTCAAGCTTAAAAAGAAAAAACTCGAAAAAGTTTTAGCTCAAAACAAAGAAAAACGATATTGAGAAATCGGATGACGAACCTCATGTTGACATAATATCAGAAAAGCTGCTGTTCGACGCACTGAAAAGGCGTCATGACTAGATCGATTATTTTCTGAATATCTACAAAAAATAAGGGTAAGAAGCAATAACAAATAATGCAGTTAACAATTAAAGTTAACAATGAACTAATAACTGTGTTGACTTCCCAGATGATTGCTCCATCATCAAACAAGTTTTCCCATACCTCGAAAAGGAAAATCACAGACATTTAACTGCTACAAACAGAAATGTCACTAACGTTCTTAAAAAATCATTCGAGAAATGAAGATGAAATATATAAGAACTCACTCAATTAAATCAGCAAAAAAATGAGCTATAGCATCGAAAAGAGCACCGAACCGTTTAATATGTCTTTCAAATATGAATAAATATTCGTCTTCCAGTTGTGTTCCTTGCTGAAAATATTTTTTTAATAAAAAACCAAAATAAGACTTCTAAGGAAGAGTAAAAATAAGATCTCTACAATAAAAAGTAGCCGACCTCATGTGAATCAATATAGCGATCGATAATAGAAAGGTCATCAAAATATGAAAAATCAATAATGAATGGTTTGAAGCGACTACGAGTCGGATTCTTGAAATCATCCGGAACACAATCAACCAAACGAAATATTTCAGCAAGAATAGCATAACCTGTTTCTATCAACTCCTTCAGATAGTTTATTCCAAATATGTTTCCAACATTACTCATCTAAAGTAAAAATACTAGTCCTTTCTCACAGAGCAAGGAATCAAAAAATGAGCCCTGTCATACTTGCTCACTTAATTTATTAAACGTTATAGGAATTCTTTACTCAAAATTCATCGTCGAGTTTATTGTAAAAAGTATTAACTTAATAAAATGATAAACTCCTTCACTGCAGCATGTAGTTGTTGGCTCACACACAGGAACCAAAATTTAAATTCAAATCACAAAAACACAAACGGATTTTGAAGCATTTATTCTAGGCATTCATGACAATTATTAAATTAAATTAATTTTAAGATAAAGCAAAAACAATTCCTTTATAAATCAATGAAATCAAATGATTCTTAATATCACTTGAACTTATAGGAAAAATTGATTTGGAAAATAAACTTGTAGGAAAAAGTGGGTTTTAGAAGTCAATACAACGTCCTTTCCGTTCCCAATCGCCAAAACGGGTCGGTTCCGGTCCCGCTGGCCCACCAATTTCTCCGGTTATCGGGTTGACGCCTAAAGTGAGCACTTCTTCTATTGATTCACATGAAAATTAGAAATGATGCAATGAATGTAAACAACTGCACCGCGGTCATCAAAATACTTAAAAATTTAGAAAAAGTAGCAAACACCCATATGATGCATCAAATCCTCCTAAGAAACCAATCTTAGTCAATTATCTTCCACTCGCGAAATTAGAATGGATACCTCCGGGATGCTTTGGGAGATATGGGTCTTCATAAGGCTTATCCTCCTTTCCCGTTCCCAGCTCATGATCCATCTTGCCTCGTGGTGTTTTCTTCTGAATCTCAATCTCCTTTTCATTTATAGTACCTCCTTCAAATCTACAAAAACGTTGCTGATTGCAAAATATTTGCATAAGGCCCCGACCACGAACTACTCGCAACATCTGAAAAATTATTTTGCCACACAGTACAATGAAATAGATAACACTTAAGATTGCATTAGAAGTGCACTCATACATACAAACTATAGCACATGCAGATGCTTATGTGGCTATAGACTGTGCACAATCATATTTGCATATACGTTTACCAGAATACGAGTTACACGTAACGCAAAGAAATGATGTTTCCGTGAAAATACTGTGGATATGGCCACATATGATATACAGATGGAAATGAAAATAATTCCCTCACTGATAATTTGAAAGAAATAAAGACATTCCTGCTACTGTGGCAAAAAAGATTTATGCATAATTTTAACAGACAAGATCAAGCACGAGGTATTCTGAGCAATATGGACATAATTTAAAAATTTGAATGCTTTAAAGAAATAATGGATACGGAGTACAGGGCATATAGACAAAGGTAAAGAAACTATAAAAATATATTTCTTCTTTCAGTATCATTCGTAAAAAGAAAACTTCAACTATTTTCCTTCAGCTGAATCTGAAAATAACTGATGCAGATTAAATGACAAATGTTACTGAAAGACTGAAAGAAATGAAGAATGAATTACAGAAACAAATCTTTTACAATATTGTTGCCATAATGTAACAAAAAATGAACAGAAAAATTCCGCAGTTCAACTACAACACTGAATGGTACCGAAAATTTTTTCATTTTTTGAAACATAATCTGTGATAGCTTGCAACAGTTCAGTCCAAAATGAAGCATCGTCAATACAGAGATCACTTGAGAAGAAAACCTAAAACAAGAAATAAACTACTTTCTTTCATAATAATTAAAAATCTGCAAAATCTGCCGTCTTTAACAATTGCATTTTTTCAAAATTTGAAATAAAAATTTAAAGGAACTTATATGTTATCCTCATGATTCCGGAACTTATATATTATCCTCATGATTCCAGAACTATCAAAATATAAAAAAAAAAAAAAAAAAAACACTCTCTTCTGCCTCTGATGTCTTCTGTACGTCGAACAGAATTATGAATTTTTATGACAAATTCACAACAACAATTTTCTAATCTAAGCCATGGAAAGATCTCCGAAAAATTAGTTTCTTCTTGTTACTTGCATCCTATACGAGATTGCAATTCCTGTGCATGTTCACAAAGTTCTTTGTAACCATCGTTCTCCTTTCATTCTTTATAACTATCGCTTTTGCTTCCACGTCACCATCGATGCTCAGTTCAAACTGTCGCTCCTGACGAGCTGACACTCATATTGTTAAACTTGCACAATTGCCGAACTATACCGCATAATTCAGGTCGAATGTATCGAATGTATCCTCACTCTATCGATCCATCTTTTAGATGTCCTCCTTTTTTGATGGTAAATTCCATTTCCAGCGCAGCTTCTTCTGATCCTCCTTTTGTTGACTGAACGTATTGCTGCAATTATACTACCTCACGATCAGCGTTGCACTTTGATCCTTGCCTGAATTTTAGCGTGTCGTTTTACGACTGGTTGTTGTCCACTTGTATAAATGTGAATCGCATGTATTTATTCTTTCGCTTCGTTGACCTGTTCAAAACTACCCACTATTTGACCATAGTAGCATTTCTATACACAACTAATTACATCTCTTCGGCATAAGCTACCATTACTTTTTTATAACCGATTTCAATGAAATCTCTCACAAATGATAAATAGATTTATGCAAGAAATTTACATTAAAGCCAGAAATTTAAGTGAGAATTATCTTTGGCATATCACTAACGAGACATACCTGCTTGCTGGGGAATAGTTTATTAAGTTTAGTTGCAAAACTATCTATTAAATAATTTGGTTTTGGTGATTCGATAAGATTCATTCCTCGGAAATTCTGTGCAAAACATAAGGTATCTAAGCGATTTTTGCTGCCTATCCAAATGAAGATACATCCGTTCATTATAATACTGATGAAACCAATCAAGTGCTTCGCGACAGTTAATTCAGCCTTATGAAAACACATGCTAATCAACCTTAAACACATAGAAATAACCGAGTAGAAAAAAAATCAGAATTTCTCTATGGAAAGCAACATTAAACACATCATGTCAACCGTTTCTTCTAGAAGATAGCAATTTTCGTCAGATAATATGCGACAGTATTATCTTGATAAACCATTACGGAAGAGATATGAACATTTCCGAAATCAATTATTTTATGATAAATCACCTCCCAAGTCTTGCAAATAAATGCATCATTGCTTCGAACATTAAAAACTACAATGAAATTTAAGCTAGATACTATCTAAGGAAATACTTTATTTTTACAATATTTAGCAGATCCTTTTTTTGGCAACACAAATAACCGCATATTCTCCAAATATCAAATCACCAATGAAAAAGATAAACAATCGTTTATCAAAAAATCGAAATTCATCCTAAAAAATAAGACTTCGCATAAAACAACGAAAAAAAAAAGCAAAACGAAACAAACCATATCTATGGATAAAGATAACAAGTGGCAGAAAATCAAACGAACAAGCAATAAATAAAGAAATTTTCATACGTCAGCAGCTGCAATTATTAAAATCATCAATAATTTTAGTTTCAGTACTGGAAAATACAAATAAATTATAAACAATGCTTTTAACACTTAACATAAAAATAGAAACGATAAAGCAATAAATCATAAGCAATAATATCAAAATGGTCAAATAAAGAGGTACTCTACAAGAAGCTTTGGAGTAAGTGCACAGAAAAATACTTCTCAAAGTTCTCAAAGTTGAAGTAGTGAAGGAGACTTATAATTTAAAAAATCATTAAAACAAATTATATTTTCAACGTGTTATGACGAGATGGGGATACTGAAAACTGTAAATTCATTAGAAAAGAAAAGACTTTCAAGAAAGACTAAAAGACTTCCAAGCATTTAACTCGACAGAAGAGAACACACAAATTTTGGTGTGTTTTGCAAAAATTTTTAAGAAAAACTGTGTTTTGTCACAAATGAGAAATATAATTTATTTTTTGGTTATTTTGTTATCCAAAGCTTTCCAGTCCATCAATTTTCCCAATTCCACAAATGTTATCGTAATTCATCTTTGTACTTCCAGCCTTCGCCTTCTTTAACAAACAAAGTAGGATGATAAACAATTCGCTGATCCTAAAATGCAACAATAATTTTAAAAAGATTTTCCTCATCCAAAATTTTAAAAAGATTCATGTAATTTACACAGAAAAAGAAAAAAAAAAAAAGTGCTAAATTATATAAATTTTTGAATACCTGTCGCTTCTTAGCTTCCTCACGCTGCCTTTGCTCAATCCATCTCTTTGCATTAGTAGCAAGTTGTATATTATTTTTTTGCAAAGCAACCGTAACATGTCTCCATAAACGGCGTGATTCTCTATCACCTTGTTTTGCTACAGGTTCGCATTCCCAGAATTTAAAAGACATTAGAGTATTGTTGAAGATTTAGACATTTTGAAAACAGTCGTTGAACAAAAGTTATACTACTATCCATTTCGCTTTTTAGAACAAAAACTTTTTTCGAAAAAAAAAAGCAAATTTTGGTGTATTGATTCAAGATACATGAAAATATTGCTGAACATTTTGATATCTTGTTCAATCCAAAAATAATAAAAAATTAAACCTTTTTCGCTTCAGGATATTGCTTAACATCAACAAATAAATATTCGCTACCATTCAGAGGTTTCGCAGTTATCACACCATTCCATTCACCCTTTATTATAAGAAGGGGTTTTTTAAAGCCTGAACGATAAATATTTCCATTTATACGATGTGCTTTTCCACCGAAAAAAGGCTTTGTTAGAAAATCAATTTCAGCCGAATATCCCGTTTTGACACAGTTAACTGTGACCTGAAATGGTGCCACAACTATTAGAATAAGTTGAGCAATCAAATCTACAATCAGGTTCAATTTAACGAACAAATTCACTTATACCAAAAGACTTACTTTCCCGCCGAGTTCAATCCATGGAGTACTCATAATTGAACGTCCATAACCATTTGGGAATGTTAAAACATACTCCTCACCATAATCATGCAGCTTCACTGTTCCCCAACCAATGTTAGTGACTCCTTAAAGTCACTGTTAATGGTGACTAGAAAAAGGAACACATCGCTGGTAAGGAAATTAAATTCGAAATTTCATACAATATTAGGGATAAAAGATCCTACTAGCAATCTTTTATTCACTGAAAATAATTTTTCTTTCAAACGATCAAACCCTAAATGCTCGTAAAAATAATTCTTAAGCGGCTTAATAGATTTCGAATAATTACCAATAGAAAGGCCCAAGAACGAAGACTTCGTCCAAATATGTCCTGTAAATGAAACCCGTTTAACAGGATGTTCGGCATAAAAAGCTGAGACAGGTGGGTGGTGGCTGACCTGTTCCGCAATAAACGTTAAGTCATTTCTGTCTGAACCAGGAAAAGGACCACGTTTGGTGAGCTGTTTAGTTCTTTTCATGCCAGGTATTTTCCATCGACCTACAAAAAATGAAGCCGGTTCCCTTCTATTGAGTAAGACTGTTATTAGCAAAATAATTTCCGATCCAATAAAAAGAGAATTTTCAAAAAGAAAACAGAACTAAATTTCTGAATTCCGGGCAGTTATAAAACTTCGTACTTAAAATAATAAAATAAAACTACTAACATCGAAAGGTTTCTCCAAGAATAGGATTATATGGCTTTTTAGCTACACCACTTTTACGAGCAGCATAAAAAGCTCCCATGTAGTAACGGACCACAGAGACGAAGCGTTCTTCCGGCGATGATGCATCAGCACAACCGACGAAACTGTCTGGGTGTGCAAAGAAATCAGCATACATTTCCAGAAGTGAGCGACGTTCGAGAATAAATGTTGGCAGTGTCACTTTGGTTAAATCCATTCCAACACTTACCTGGATATTTAGGTTACTGATTTCAAAAAGCTACTCTAATATCACGATAAGGAATGATAAACTATTTGCAGTAAAACGTTAACTTCAAAACGTGATGATATACGTAGCAATTCTACCCATGAAGTGTGCT